GGTGCGGGGGGGGGTGTCCCTGCTCGCTAGGTGGCACCAGCCGCACGATGTACCGGGGAAATGGGGCGCTCCCGGTCAGGGCAGGAGCTGCGCCCTCTCTTTCCAGTACCGGGTGGCTGGACTATTGACACGGCAAACAAATATGTAGGTTTGGTTTCCTCCCACTCTGCTGGCTTCTTAGAGATAAATGAATGTCTTCCTAGTACGTCTCACTGCGTTCTCTAGATGTACCTGACTCTCTTCTCCTCATTTAAGCTCTTTGGGTCTCATCCTCACGGCCTTGCTTGGGACATCTGTTAATATTTCTTGAATGCATGGGGACTAGAAATACACTTCTCCAGTCTCATGCAAGAACTTTTTTATGAAGCTCTGTAGGTCAGAAACATGAGAAGTACTTGGTATACATGTGATTTGAGAGCTGTACTAACAACATAGCTACTGTGAGATCCCAGGCAAGAAGAGCCAGACTTTCATTATATGTAATAAAATATGACAATAAGCTTAGCAGAAGGTGGTACATCACCCACAGTAGAAGGAGTTATTATTGAACATTATTTGTAAGTTAGAAAAATCATGAGATCACAGAAAGTACATACAACTCATAGTTTCTTTTTCTGGATATGTAGGTTAATCATAAAGATGAGAGGTGAGCAGCCTGTTACAAATCTCCATTATTGTCACACTTTTCTGTATTGTCTTTTATTTTCTGATACATTTTTCTGATGCAATCTAAAATGCCTCATTTTACACGTAGCTCTTCCCCCTACCACAATTCCTGTGGTGCTTGTTGCCTGCAGTTTCCCACTGTCCATCAAGTTATTGTTGAAGTGTGGATGTGGCATCCGTGCAGGAATGTTAAGAAACAAGCAAAACTGCAGTTTACATACAGCTCTTGGTCCATCTGTACCCATTTGGAAAGTTTGCAACTGTAGACCCAGAGGCTGGAATTAACACCATTTGTTGTTGTCAGCGTGGAGTTCCTGGGGAGACAGAAAAAGAGAAAAATATTATTTCTTGGTTTAATAAAAAATATGGGTTTTCTTTACAATGTGTATATATATATATATATCTTTATGTGTGCGTGTTACTATGTATGTGTGCATATATAAGAGGTATATAATGCTACTGCTTCCAGTAAAAATATTTCTGAGAACTTTATCTTCATTCTTACTGCAACAAGTGCCTCAAAGTACCTGGTGCATTCAAAGCTTCAAAAAGACTTTCAGTTCCTCCCCAGAGCTATTTTAATTTGAGATCTATTTAATTTGAGATATCTTCTTGGTGGAGCAATACGGCTGAGTACCACTTTAGTTTGTTTAAGTCTTTTAGCAACCTGTAGTCTGGGTGTCATTATAAAATATCTGTGGACTGTATTTTATTTCTTCATTATGCATAGTGCAATGGGAGCAGTTGTAGACCAGCAAGGTAGAAGTGGTCTGAGCTGGTCTAGCCATTTGGAATGCTAATAAGAACACCTAACGTAAAATAGCTTGGCTTTCTCTTCTAGTATCCGTGGACCTCAACAAGGAGCAAGAATAACTCTACATGCAAGAAAACATGCAAGCATCTGGCAGTGGCATTGCACTCTTGGGAGTCTTGGCTGATCTGCAGCCAGGACAGGATGATGCTGATGCAATGGGAGATGAGGCAGGACTAGGAAGCAAGAAGCTGAAGATTAGGGCCAGACTGAATGGGGTTGTTCTTTCAGATAGGAAGGGGACGGGGTCAGGAAAGGGTAGTTTTTAAGCTTACTTGAAAGGCTTCTGGGAAAAAGTACTAAACAAGTTATGTTTTCAAGAAAAGATACAGCCCCACCTTGAAGCTGACTTTCGTTAGGGCCAGCCCTGAAACCTGCAGCTGTGGGGTTTCAGGCTGGCCATCAACAGGTCTTCAGTCCACTGTGAAATGCAGTTAGTGGGGTGTGAGGGGGGTGATGTTCAGCTAAGAGATGGCAGGGCAGCAATAGCCTCTAATTTTGACATTATGACTTCTATTTACATATAGCTAAAGGTCCTGTGCTGTTCCTGACAGCTTTTGGCATGGGAATCTCACCTCAGAAACATGAGGATGGGAGGGAGAGTGGTGGTTCCTGCCTCATTATGTCAGACCAGAAGAAACAACAGTTGTTCTTGTCTTCCTTAGGAGAATTTCTAGTCGTTCAGCCTTGACTAGTCGTTCAGTTTGAGACCTATCTTTAGCTACTGAAGTGTTTTCATTTTTTTGCAGTAAGCTTCTTATAGGCCACAGGAGTAGAAAATGAGTAGAAGAGGAAGTGACCCATGAAATATTTGCAGAAGTGATGTTTTGTGTGTGTTCTGCTGAAGTGTTTCATTCAGTATATTAAATATTTATATAGCCCTGCAGTCACTATTAATCCAAGTAGTCATGTTTTCCCTAGCCCACCACAGGTCCTTACCTTATAGTCAACCCCTTGAAATTAATCAAGGTGAACACAGAGTTGTCACCACTGGAAAATAGTTTATTATTTTTGAAAATAAGATCTATTTCTGCCTGACCAGAGCTGAGTGTTGCTAAAAATATTGCAAATGTTACATGAGCTGTAAATATTTTCTTTAACAGATACACAGGTAATTCCTGGTCTCCACTGACCAACTTTTTTTCCCTTCTCTCCTCCCGGAAATGTTGCTTCTCTCTTTTTCTCAGGTGAGAATGAGAGATTTAGAACCATAATAGCAACATCTCTATTGTCTCCAAATTCAGTATCCTCTTTTCATGTCTGCTCCTAGTTAAGTAAGATGTGTAAATAGCTAGGATCCTTCCTGCCTGTGCTGGGCTGGGATCCCTAACCCTTTGGTCAGTTAAGAGACTGCAGTCTGAGGTATGGAATTGGGACAATCACAAAGAACATAAAAAATATTATTTTACATCTGTCACACTTCTTTTTTGCTCTTATGACATTTGCCTCTTCTTAACCTCCTATCTTCCCGGACTTTCATCCTTTTATTCTGTTTTTAAACATCTTTATCTCCTGGGGGAAGGAGAGGGATGATTTATCTCTTCCTGCTGCTCCCTGTTCCTAATATCTGCCTGAACCCAGGCCTCCAGAGTGTAACCGTATTGTGCCCAATCATCCCTGCTTCATGTTTCACTCTGCTTTCTTATCTTGCTTTATGTTAACATTTCCTTCCCTCTGTCCCTCATTTTGCTTCTGCTGCTCCTACTAGAATACACACTTGAGCTTAAATGAAAGGACATGAAAGATGACTTGTCTAATGTAATTTTATCCATCACCCCCTTTCTCCTCTACTTGCTTTCAGTAGATGAAATGTAAATTATTTTGCAAAATCTTCTGTAATGAAGGTATTTTTCTCGTGTTTCTGTTGAATGCTTATGTTAGTTGTTGGATATGTTCGTTTAGATGAGAGAAGAAGCCAACAACAATTGTCAAAGTGTCTCTCTGTTCACTCTAAAAACATGAAGTATTGTAAGACCACAAAGGACAGCAATGTGCAATGAATGTTGTCTGCATCAACATTGATAGAAACACTTTATTTCAGCTCTACTCTGTTAGAGTTTGTTTCTCTCTACTCTATCAAATTAATAACTGTTACCTACAAGCCTCCATTCAGACAAAAATTAAGGAAGAGGTATAAGTTCTTACTTGCTTCAGAGCCGCAGAGAATCTGGCTACAGGTATTGATAGCTAAGCTATCAAATTGCCTTTGGATTAAAAAGAGAGAAAAGTCACATTCCCAAATACTACTTTCATTGTAAGACACGGTTAGTTGTTAAAGCCATTAAATACAAGCTACAAATTGGCAGCTGAGAGTTTATTTTTCTTGGCTGAATTCTCGAGATTTTTTTAGCCTCATACCTCTCTACTGAGCTAAATTGTATAAATAGCAGATAAATTCTTTTTAATTCAGTCAAATAGATGCCCCTTAGAAGCAGTGACAATACTGAAAAATATACTACATTCCTGTGTTTTAGTTCTGGACTGAAACCTTGACAGAAACATGCTTCTTGAACGTTTGCCTTTTTTATAATCCAAATAACAGCTAAGGGATGAAAACTGCTGTGTCCTGGCAGTGTAGATTTACAGACATTGCATCCAAAGGAGTCCAGAGCCAGTGAGGTGTAAACCCTGCCAAAGAGAAGTGGTGTAATAAAGAGCACAAGAGCAATTCACAATTATTTTTTTCCCCAAATAGAAGTATTATATTAGAACATCAAACTGCATGCTTCAATAAAGTAATTTTGCAACTGTAGTAGAGGAGGGCGGTTGGATTAAAGGCTGGATTATTGTCTGTGCTGGAGGACTTCCACCAGTCACGGCAAGCGTTGTACAGGATCATTCTGAGTTTGGTCTGGAGGTTCTGCATTTCCAGCTAAACGTAATTCCTGTCACGCTTGCTATCACAGCTGTATTACAAGCAATTAAACTGTAAGGCAAGACCATGCAAAGAACATCTTGATCAAATTACAGTGTCAGATGAGACAAGAAAAAACAAACCCCAAACTGGACACTAAAGGAACCTCTGATAATATACATAGAGGAAATTATATTGCTTTGAAAATACAACAGGATGTAGATCTGATAAGAGGCTCTGGCAGGACTTTAATGGGTGGCAGTTCTAGACAACTCATTTTAATTGCTTATATTTCTATCTTCTGCTTTAAAAGGAAATATATTTTTCTGAAAAGATACTTAATGTACTGCAAAGACAATTATTATTTTTGAAAGTGTATTTGGAAGATTATTAGAAATCCCTACAGAGGCTAGTTGCTAATTTGCTATCCCAGGCTGTAGTTCATAAATTTCAGATAAAGTCCAAGTTGTTTAGTAACAAGAATAGAAATTGAAAAACTGTGTTTTCTCCATGGCAACATACATGTAATAAATTATAAAGTTGTGCATAAAATACTTAGATGTTTTTTTTCCTGCACCACATCATTGGATTAAGTTTTCTCATAAAATCACAGGGGGTAAATATGTTGATTGCTGTGTTGATTGTCACAGTCTTCTTGTTTCCTTTTTTTTTTATGAAATGCTTTCTTATATTTTGAGAAAGTGTTTACACTGCTAAAGAGCCAGAGAGACATTTGAGGTGAAAGCTGGGACTTTTTTTGTTATTGTTTTATTTTTGCCAATTTGTGGGTGCCATTAACACGTCAGTGTCCATATAGCTGTATGTTAAGAGAGATGTGTAAAACAGAGAGATAAAAATGTAAATATTTTATTTTAGGTAGTATACAGATAACAAACTGCCAGTCGTAGATCTGGTGGTGACCACAAGTCCCCTATTTTGATACCGTGAATTTGTGGACCAACAAAGCTTCTCTAAAGCGTGCTTATACATCAATTTTATAAGAGTATTTTGAGATTTGGATGGTCTATAAGTGTTATCAGGAAGGAACTGCAGGCTAGAGACATTTCTTATTTCTCAAGAATGGTGTGTTTTGTTTTTTCAAGAACAGAGCTGTATAACAGTTTCATAAAATCACTCTTATTACCATTAATTCACTTTCTCCTTTCCTCTGTTGGCTGTGATAAAATTAAGGGGTTTTTGATTTGTCAGCTGATTCTTTGCTCAATAGAGTTTTCTTATTGTTTTCATGTTTTTTCTGCTTTAGAAATCAAAGTGCAGCATATGGCATAGTGGTAATACATACCCTTGGAAAAAATGCTTCATTTCTCACTGTCAAATCATTCCATTTGATTGGGAAGGTTTGACATGATGCTATTTCTCCATCATATGTTAAAACTTCCACAACTCAAATTTTTGCCAACAAGGTGCCTGTGGCTCTGTTGTCCTCCTCAAAACTGGCACTTGGCCTGGGATAACAAGCAAGGTTTTCAGCTTTTTTTTTTTAATTTTACTTTCAATAAAATCTTGGAAGCTTTGGTGGCTAAGCTCCCTTATGTATATATATGAGTATATATTTGACCAAACTGTCTTCACCAGACGCAATAGTATGTTAGGAATTAGGTTAAACTCTACTTTTCTGAGCCATGTTGGCCTAATTACAGTAGAGTATGCTTTAATGAGGGTTCTTCTAAGGTACCTCTGCCTGATATGGCAAACAGCCCAGAGGCAAACTTCAGATCCAAATGTCAAGAACTGATTCATTGCTTGCCTGCAATTAATAGTTGGGATTCAGGGTCTGGATAGAAAACTAGAATAAGACTCTCTTTCAGCTCATACCAGAGCTGTTGACCTTTTCCACTGCAGATGTAACTCAAAAGCCAAATTTCATAGATTTATCACATAGCAGATATTGCAGAGTCTGGACAAAGAAGACAGCGTTGATTAAATTTACTCAAAGCCTTTAAATTGGTTACACATCAAAGAATGGTCAACAGAGAGTGGGAGGCATTTGATAAGGAAAGAAAAACAGAGTGTCCAACAGTAAAGTTCATATTAAAAAGATCTTTTCACCTTAGGGTAAAAAGCATGATAGATCACTGTATATATAAATGAACTTTGCCGTCTTTCTTTTAGTTTTTTCAGCCTGTGAGAGCTAATGCCAACCCTGCTTTGTTTGCATCCCCCTTCATTCTCATGTCATGTCGTGCATTTTCCAAACAAAAAAAGAAGAAAAATTATCATAGCATAGCATAGGAAATATAATTACTAATGATAATACTGAAAACAAAAATGCAGCTTCTGCTCCTAAAAACTGTATTGCTTATCCCAAACAATATTCATGCCCCAGGAAAGAGGAGGGGAAAACACTACAGGAAACCTTCTTTCGTCAATCTACTTCATTTAATCAAAAAATCATTGGTCTTGGCTAGGTCTCAAGGCAAACGTCATGCAATCCCATAATGCTGGCTGCAGGAACAGGCTCGTATTCCCCTGGTACAGGCTGTTACACAGCCTGACCTAAATACTATGAAAAACTGGAATAGTGACCTGGTTATAAGTTGAGAGAATTTGTTTGAGAGGCTTTCCTCAGATATAGTCCATTTTGTAGCTTTTGGGAAGAAATCTGTTAAGTCACAGTACAGAATAAGACATTTTTGCCTCCTGCCTAGTTGCAGTGGTAACAGCCAATTTGAAACTTATTTTGGGAGACTTTCTCCTGCTATCTGTAGATGTTTGAATGTGTAATTTGTGAAATAGTGTTATGTTTAACACCTAGCATATTTCAGTCTTTCTTTGATACTCCCATTTCAAACATACATGTTCTCTTTCATTAAATAGCTAACGTTCAAGTGGTTTAAATCTTATTTTTTCAAACTAGAGAATAGCATTACTCACATACCAGAAGGCTAAGTAATGTCTGGGATTTATTAAATCATTCAGCAAAGTTGACCACAGACAGTTCCATATAGAACAAATGCTGGAAGAAAAATAATCTTCTGTGGTGATGTTCATTATACTATAACACATACAGACTGAGAGGCAAATTCTTGGTATCGTTTCTGTCTCTGCAAGTATTGTATTTCTTGTTAGACCTTTAACTAGCTTGACATTTTTGGTTATAGAGGGTTTGAGCACAGGGGAAACATGTAGTCTTAGATCATAGGAAGGAGAAAAAAGGTAAGTTTAATGTTAATTTGATATCTTGTTAAAGCAGCTATGGGTTATCACAAGGTAAACGTTTATTGGGGACTTTAACGAATAGGTCTTTTACTGCCAACTTAGTGTTATTGGACATTTTTTTAAATGTTACATTCCAAGTATATTTGCAAAATTCTATTGCTGTTATATTGAGCAAAAAGAGCATTATTGAGGGGTTTTTTTGATCTGTTCCTGGTATTCCACATACCTGTTAGTCTTTGCCCGTTTGTTTTATCAGCCTTTCATAGATAAAGTGCTAGCTGTGAAAAATGCAAAAATATTAAAATGGATTTTATTGATCAGACAATGCTAACCTGAAATGTCAAAGTAACTGAACAGATATTTTTGGAATTTTCAGGCCCTTACCATTTTCTAAACATTAAACTCATTTTAAAATCACAAATTGAGCTCTTACACAGTAAATAATTACTTCCTTTTGCCTTTGCTCAATTCTTCAATCGTCATCTGTAATTTACGTATTATTTACTCTTATGAGCAAAAGAACATCAAACAAAATAACTATGAAAATTCCATAATAAAAGAGAAAAGTCATACAAGCTTATTTCTGCTACAGTGTATTCTCTAGGTTTGATTGGGGTTTTTTGTTTATATTGAGTTACAACCCAGGGAAAATTTTAAACTTTGTTTTGCCTTTTCAAAATTGTATTGTTTGCACATAAAAGGATATTTGTTGTGTGGAATAAGTGGTTTGTGAGCAGGATTGGATAACACATAATTATGTTTTAATTTTTTAGAAGACTGTGGGACATATTTCCCAGAAGTGAAAAAACATCCAGACAAATACTTACAAAGATGTCCCGAGTCTGTAAAAAAGTGGCTGAAACAACTGAAGAGTGCTGGGAAGATTCTGCTATTAATTACGAGTTCTCACAGTGACTATTGCAGGCTCCTGTGTGAACATATTATTGGGTAAGTGCAATATCTATTTAAAATTATATCTGCCAGACAGCACTGGAGATAAGCCTGAGCTATAGGAAAGTCAATTGGAGTTTCTTTATGTGTTGTTAATTATTTGGACCTGTTTCTGATGGGCCTCTCTCTAGTGGAGTGTTACAGGGTACTCGAGTCCATCTGTGAGCCTGTGAGCTGTATCTGACCCACAGCACACTTATATCCTGCATCTTTTCCGGTCTTCATGATGGGATTGAGGATGTCAGGGAATATCTTTCAGGCCAGCACCCAATACATCATCTGAATCCCAATTTTATCATAAGTTTTGGCTAGACTCTCTTATTCAAGCCACTTCCCTTTTGTATTTATCCAGCGGTGAATGCAAGTAGTAGTAGTATTTCATTTCCTTGCAGTAAACATGCATGGAAAAGCTTATAAATAAATACTTCTTCCCAATAATGGTTTTGAAGAGACAGTTGTGCAGGAGAAATGTGCATTTATAGATCACAACAGAAAAGATAAAACAGTTCATTGCACTTGGCAATTAGTTGAGATTGTAGTTGCTGGTCACAACAGCTATTTTAGCTGTAATGTTAAGAACATGACTAGTCAAGCCAAATTCAGTGAAATTCATCAGAACCATCACTTACACCTCTAGAAATGAATTAATCAGTCATACAAATAGCTAGGTGGGTGATGTGGTGAGACTGTTCAACAAACAAATCAAAGAAACAAAGTAGTGCAATGTGAGCCAACCTTGGCTATCTGGATATGCAAAGGAACAGTAGAGTGAATACAGGAACACTGTAAGAAAACCACAGGTAAGGTGCAAAACAGAGATACTGTCCAAAACCAGTCCTGCCAGTATCACTTCTGTTTTGTACTCTCTGAACTAAATGCTAAATTGAGCATCAGCTGTGCCAGTTCTCACTGCCTTGCATGAGCATTATACTTGCTCATTTGAATGGAAAATATAGATCCTCACAAAAAAGCAGTTCTCCTTATGAGTAAGATGCGTGTGAATTAACTCTTTTGTGTAGATCTGTCTAGTTTTCTGAAAGAAATTTTGGTATAACACTAAATTCTTAGCCACATACAGTGATTTTGGCTTTCTTTTCCTTGGTGACTAATGTTTCAGCTGTTTAAGGCAGCTGTAGAGATCCTGCTGGAAGACAGTAAGCAAGGTAGCAGAGAGGACCAGTTGCCTTTCAAAAAAACCAGAAAAGAGATGTTCTGCTAGAAGAATATTGGATCACTGTGTCTTTCCACATAAATGCAGGATGTTCTACAGTGTTTAGTACAATCATATTTTCCAGTGATTTATGCAATGTGGCTTCAAAGACATCTTCTGGAGAACTGAGTACTTCACTGTCCATTAGACCTTACTGAAGTATTTTTTTCCTGAAAATAATTCTAAGCTTCTTATTGCTTTTGTTTGTTCCATGCCTCTTATGACAGACAGTAAGACTCTATACAACTGTGCTGCTTTTTGTGCTACTGAAATATAGTCTAGGTTCACACCTATTATCTCTGCCCAAAACTTTAATTTGACCAGGCTAACTGCATTTTATTATTGACATCAAGCTTTATTACATTTATGTAGTCCTTTATTAATTTATTTTCCTGCTTTCAATTAATCAATATCATACTGAGAAATTCAGAACTGTATAGTATTACGTAAAAAAAAAAACAACCTAAGGATAAAGATGAAAAGCAGAGATCTGCGTGAAGTTCTAGCCTCTTACTCCTAATATCCTTACCTTGTAACTGTTAACTTTTTTGCACATTATTTAAACATTTCCCTTTTGGCTATGAAATTATTGTCCACATAAAATAGGAAAATTCAGGCTTAAGTGTGTCATTTACCATTTCAAGAGCAAACTATCCCAGTTGTGTTCATCTGACCAAGTTGTCCTTAATTGGAAAACATTTTGGTAAGGAGGGAGAAAATTTAAGAAAAACCCCATTTTGAAATAAAATGAGAACCGTTTCTCAGCTAGAGCACACACATATTGCTGGGATCAGTGTATAAGGCATGTAAACCTACAGAAGCAAGTGCAAGTTCATTCATACAAGTAGCAACATCGTGGTGTGACTTTTCAGGCTTCCAGTCTAACAGGAAGCCTGAAAAGGTCTTTTCCAACCAAAACAATTCTATGACTCTAAGAGTCTATGAGAATGTGTGTCGAGTTAATGGAAAGTTTAAGCATTGGCAGGAGCACGCCTAAAGACGAGTCAATCATCACATAGTCACTGAAGCTGAGTGTCATTCACCTTTTCATGAATGTTAGCCATCCAAAAGCTAGGAATTTTTTGAAACTGGTCACTTTGATTCCCTCTGTGGTTAGGGGAGAGAAGACACTGGGCATCATCCTTGGCAATTCATTCTGTATCGTAGAATTATGTCTGAAATAAGTGGGATGAATTGCCTTCTAGGAATGTGGATGTTTCTCCACTGGCTCTGTCTGTGGTGTAGACCACTAGCTGTAAATTCAGCGTGCAGTTTTTACATGGCTAAAGTTATGTAAGATATATCCTACTCTTTGTCTTAGCCATTTACTGTAACCACAGACCACAATACCAAGCACAAGCAGTAACTGGAAGAGATCTTATCATGTATAATGTTACGTAGTAATGTAACACAAGGTACAGGCTCTCATAAAATCAGTAGCTTTGTATGTGAGATTTAGTATGATTCAAAAAGGCCATAGATAATACCTCTGCACATAAAACCTTTTTCTTCAACAAATCACTAAAAAGTTAACCAAATCTTGTGAAAACTCTATTCGTTCTGTTTCAATTTTTTTTCACAATGCACTCGCCTCTGTTCCTACAAGTCTTTGTTGTGCTTCTGAAGTGTTGGCTTCATGTTGAAAGTTCAAGCCTAACTCACCCATGGAAGCATTGTTTGCACCATATGATATCTTGAAAAGTTTAACTCTAACAATACTTTTCACCTAAGGACAGAAGAGCCATGCCTCTTTGCTCAGCTTCTGGAATCTTCCACACAGAAGCTAATTTTAAAAATTCCATTGTCATATTCCATTGATACTGGTTCTTTTAAAAAGTAAAGGTTTACATATGGTCACAAGTGGAGAAAAATAGGCAAAGCTAAAATTTCATCACTTCTCGTATCCTACTTTATAAAGAGAATCCCTCATTTACACCTTTCTGTACCTGTCTATGCTTATGTTGTTACCTGAGATTAAAATATGTCATCTGTCACATGTTCTCCTGAGATTTAAAAACTCCCTGAGCCAAAGAACATCTTTTTACAAATAGTGAGTGGTCCTGAAGGTACGGCACTGTGGCTTCTCACCCAGCTGTCGTCTCACTTTTGACAACCTCAGGAAAAGGGTGGGAGACACGCAGCATTGGAAAAAAGAAGTGCTTTGCTACTTTCTTTATTAAGTCTTAAAGAGTATTTAGTGGCATCTTAGCTAATTTATTGGTTTAGCTAATTCATTTTCCTTTACTTTCCAGGAATGATTTTGAAGAGTATTTTGACATTGTGATTACAAATGCTTTGAAACCTGGTTTCTTTTCCCATACCCCAAACCAAAGACCTTTTCGAACTCTTGGTAAGTTGCCATTGTGACTGCCTTCTCATCTGCTTACCTCTATCCAAAAGAAAAGAGAAATAAAAGTAAGAGGACTGGACAACTGAACATCATATTTTAAAATCTAGCACTTGGGGAGAAAGTGAACTTTACATGAGACTCTTCCAGGGATATTAGTAAAAAATTATCTTAAGACTTAGGAGCACTGAGAAATTAAGAATTACAATGCTGGGGACAATGAAAAGGATCAGATACTGCATCATTAATTAAAAGTTAAGAATCCTTTTCTTTATTGTGCTGACAAGGTGATACACAGAAAATGACATTTAGTTCTGGGAAAAAACATGGCAGAAACTTCAAAAATTTAAAGGAAAGTCAAAGAACAGTACAGATAAAATTGCAAGGCTGAAGGAAATGATTTATGATGGAAACCTGACAGTATTAAATGTGTGTACTTTGGCTAAATAATGACAGAGTAGGTGAAAAGAGAGTGCCCCAGTACTCACTTAATTTAATTAAAACAATCTGAAATGTTTGGCAGTGTTGTCCATTAGGTAATTAAGGTTGTAACAAAAGAGTTTTATAAGAGCAGTTTTCATTGAACTACAAATAACAGTAGTAACATAGCTGAAGACAGTTTTTCCATATTTTGGTAAATACCTTTATGATTATGATTTTCAGTGCTACCTGAAAATTAATCTCATATCCAAAATAGCATTTGTCAGCATATATTGAACTGTATTTTAGCATTTTATGACGGGAAAGTCAGCTGTGCCAGCCTGAAAGAAATTTTGCTTGTGGAACTTTTACAGTAAAACTAAAATGAGCAGTGGAAGTATATATTAAAACTGCATTTTAATGTTTCACCAATTTATATAGGAAAGTAAGTAAGAAATATCTTAAATGTGATTTTTAAAGGATTAGTTCAAATAGGAAACTGCCAAGTTGACAATCTGAGAAAAAATAAGCCCAGAAGGGAAATTGAAACTATTTATATGAAATGGGGGGGAAGCAAGAACATAAAGGGTGAGAAAGGCTCAGTTCTGCAAGCATTTTATTTAGTTTCATATAGTGCAAATTCAAAATAAAATGTAACTCACTTCAGATATTTTTTAAACAACCTGATTAGCCTAACTTCCTAAGGAAATCCTGCTGTGTCTCTCTGTCAGTAATCCAGCCAGCAACTTTTGAACCTGTTGGACGGTTTCAGTAAATGTAATAGACAACCAAAAAGCTTCAAGATATTTTGACAAGGTTTTTTTGTGCAAAGAAGGGCAGAACATAGGAGGAATGCTTAAAATTACTGTCTTCATTGAGAAATATCGTGTAGCACTGGCTTAATCACGTTCTTAGATTGTAAGTAGCTATTTTCCACTGTCTCTTTCTCGTGCATTCAAACAGGAACAGCATTCCCTGGAGTCTTCTTACTGACTTACTGGTTTTCATTCACTTTATATTTTGGCATTAGAAAGAGGCTTAAATGAGGGTTGATCACTTATTATGTGCATAGCGTATTAATGCAGAATAAAATGTAGTTTCTATTCTGGAGACCTCACTATCCAAATAGATAACGGACACAAACCTAAAAAGCAATCATCAGATAAATAATGTGCTGAACCTACTAACCTGTGAGTGGAATTTTTTAATATATCTGTATTTGATTGACAGTAACTGGTTTCTTCTGAAGGACCTACCAGAACATTCAAAGCAAATTATTATACATTTGGGACAGGGTTTTAGAGATACCTTTTGAAGCAGTGAAGAGCTTGTTTAAGAGTATGTGAAGTTTAAACCAGCAAAATAAGAGCGATTATATGAGAAAATTTTCAAAATAATATCTTTTTATAATGTGTCTTTTGCTGCCCTCCCTCTGTGTTCTTCACAACAAACATACAGCTTCAGTGTAGGCACTGATAGTTTCAACCAGTCCCTGCAGATAGCGAGGAACACAGTTCACTTCTGAAACAGCATGCAGTGGAGCTTCTAATACATTTTTAGGGGGATGGCTTTCCAGTTTCCAGAAATTTTTAAGGCTTTCCTTCATATCAGAACCACTGAAAAGTCAAAATTTCAGTTTCTAGTTTCTGTCTTCCCTTTGCCACTATAGATTTTAGGCAGAAGAGTTTAGCTGCTGTGCTGCAGATTGTCTCTTCTCTGAGAGCACTGGACATAATATATCAGGGAGACAACATTTCCTTAATTCTGCTTTGAAATAGGAAAAAAAATGGAGGTGAACATCATAATATATATTTTCTTAAAGCATAAAGAGTAAACTTTTGTTAGTGTAATTTAGGGGAAAAAGCACCAGTAAGTGAAACAAAGCTTGTTCTGTGAATAAATTTGTTGCAGAAAATGAACTGAAGTAACTGCTTATCAATCCTATCCATTTCTCCAGGGCTGAGTTTCAGCCTTGTTCTTCCATCCATCATTGGGTTTGAATTACAATAAATTCCTAATAATACCTTATTCCCTTCTATTCCAAAGGAATTGTGTTATAAATGGACTTAAGCCACAAAATATGGAATGTGTTCTTAATTTCAAATACTCCAAATGTTACATTGTGTACTGGAGCTAAATTTTTTTATATAGAAAAGGATTTTTGCTGCAGATTTACTAAGGGAAAGGTTTTTAAGTTTACTAAAAAGAAGGATAAATTCTTTTCGGTGAATAATTTCAAAAAGGTGACTGTGTTCAGTAAGCATTTGAAGGAGGACGACAAACAGGACAAAATGACAAAGAAGGCATTGTCTAGAAATGTGATATCAGATAACTGCTCTGCAGAAATATTTTTTCAGTAGACAAGTAATTTTAGAACTAATCCATTTATAAACCATGAAAAATTATTTTAATTGTTTAATTAAAAATGCATCACTGCTTCATTTGAGTTTCAAGACATGCATCATTTAAAGCAACCAAAACACTATTTAAAATCTTAAAAGATTTGTGTAACTGCTTTTTCTTGAACCAGAGCACTGAAAAGCACAATAATTATTTAATTTGCATAATTTTCTTTTGAAGTACCATTCTGTTAAATGGAGGAACAGTTTATACGTATCTTTCCAGGTTTGGAACAGCTACATTTACTTTTACTTGTCAAAAGATTTTGTTGTTAGGGGTAGCTTATGTAGCAAAGCAGAAAGTTTTTGACAACAGTGCTGTACAAAAAACCCTTTACTCCCATAATACAAATATCCGATAATTTACTTGTTATTCATAAGGTTATATTTTCTTTTACACAGGGAAATTCTTTAAATGGTTCTTGAAAGTACTGATAGTATCATGAGCTACTGGATCTAAGGGTCAGGTCGAAAATGTTTGCGTAAATCCTATGTTGAGAATGTAGGATTTTCTTTGCTATCAGCAGCTAAATCCAGCTTAAAATAATATATCATTGCACAAAGGAATGTGAATAGTAAATACAGTTGTGACTCATCTGGTAATCTGCAGTACACCAAGATTTCTGTAACATTTGACAACAGAGCTTTTCTTTTATCACATCACTCGTTAAGGTCTGTCAAATTACTAGCCTGACTGCCAGTTCTGATAATTGTCAAATATATATTTTTAGAATGCAAAATTAAAATAGAAATGGTAAGAGTAACCCTGATTTCCCTGAAAACTTTTTATAAGTCTGTAGGTCCTTGGTCCTAAATAAGACCTTTATATTTTTTATTTCCAACTCATGAACACTTACTGTCTATTTTGATCCATTGAGGTTTTTTTATAAACTGAAAATATGTCACTGATTGTTTCATGTCTGAATGTACAAAGTATATTTAATAGTGTATGTATATCTTCACATATATGTGTACATATACACACAGGCCAAAACCAATCCTATATATGGAGTCGCAGTGGATGCCGTATTTCTGTGAGGTTGTGTGCCTTTTTCCAATGCCCAGAAACAAACCCACCCGCCTTCTCCTGCAGAGAATCTCAGGTTTTCAAAGCCCACTTTCAAATGCACTCCCAGGCTGTCTGCCTTACTCCTGGACTTGAATTTCTCTGCAGATTATGGTGCCTCTGTTACGTGATGCAACCCCCAATTTAGGAAACTTTCAGCTCTTCAGTTTTTTACAATTCTCTGGTAACTGCAATTTTAACAATTCACTGCAGAAGATTTTTACCTCCCTCACTCATTCTTCTCTAGCCTTTAAAAATACAGGAAAATGCTATAAACTGAAAGGACTAACTAGAAAAGAAAATAAGGGGACAGGGTATAAAATTACATACTTCTAGGCTGAAGACTTCGATTATTACGGACTGCAAGACTTCAGCAGAAGGAGGTGATCCCATGTCTGCTATTTAAGTCTTCTTCTGTTATATTCTGTGACATCTGGGCTTGGCTATTGCCAGAGATGGGATACAGAACTGGATGGAGAATCAGGGCTGATTCTATATAACTGTTTTTGTACATTTATATTCTAAGGCCTTTTAGGCCTGAGGAGGGGGATCAGGAAGGGAGTGCCTTCATTTTCCCAGAAGTTAAATGTGTAAGCCATAGAACCTCTTTTTATGTCATTCTTTTTATTTGAGACTTCTGTCTTTACCACCAGAAGAATACCAAAATACTACCCAGTAAATTTTTAAGACCTTTAATAAAACCGTAGAATGTCTGTTAAAAATGTGGAAATTTTGAAACAGATGATATTACACCGTTACAAGGGAATATATAATTTAAATAGTTTTGCATTGTTCACTCATTTAAAGAGCATAAGTGCTATCTCTAGAAAATTCTTATTAAATTTTCATCCAAAACACATTGAATTGAGTCTATGATATAGCTCAGTTGCTATAATTGCTATGTAATAGGTGTCTCAGTTGTTACCTCTACAGTGAAGACTACTTTGATAAATTTTTTTTTTTCTTTTACACAGCCTGTGAGGTTAAACCTCAAGAGAGCTTGTCTACTCATTTTGGCTATGTTAATGTTAGTTGCTCATCTCTTCTAACCAATCTTGTCTGGCTTTAGATTATCAGATCTTCATACTTAAATGTAGATTCAAATTTAAATTTTAAAA